CCAAGTAGCAGAAAATCCGGGTCCAGAGTTTCCTGTTGACCACCTCCAACCACTATCTTATCTCAACATAGTGCACGCAGCGTCGAGCCACCTAGACTGTGGCCACATTACAACTTGATCGATAGAATTCGATCAGCACTAAGAAGGACTTGACACGCATGACATTAATCACTACCCAGTGATCGATCAATTATGAGTTTTAAATCTATTTATGATTTGAAGAGAGATTTCAACATTAGCTTATGAATTTGATTGGTCAATGATGTTTATAAAATTATGAGTATTTGTCAAAGATTATGCACAAATAAACATACTATTATGATAATAAAAGTAAGAAAAAAGAATTTGTAAACAACTTCGCTGACACGAATATCTGTAACAGTAGTACACGCAGCTGTAACTACAGCTGATGTCAGTACAGTAAGAAGGAAAGAGAAAGGAACTGATAAATTATGAAAGAGTTTAAATCCCAAATAGAACAACGAATGATATCAGAGAGATCAGAATAAAGCTTTATTAATCATGAAATAAACTAATTTCTTTTTTGAAGAGGATATCAGTAAGAGAATTGTTGGTATGTACAAGTCTAGGGCAGTATATTTTACTAGAATGTAAAAAAATAATCAACATGTTATTATTGTATTATACATAATAAACAACATGTTTGAACGTGTGGTACAAAATGATATGTTCTGCATAAGTCTGCTATAAGTATACACAGATATGAAAAATAAACAAAGAGAACCAAAAACAGGGGATCAATATTAAATATATTTAGGGCGTCCAAAAGTTCTGTAAATTACTTGACAACAATATGAAGTCTATGTTACTGAAATAATGAAGAATAATTGTAGTTCAGTATGAGAACTTTGGATATATTCTGTTCTTTTTGAACTGAATAGTTTAAGGGTGGTTATTTATTTATCTTTCTAAACAAAACAAAAAATAAGAAGATACCTAAGAACGCAGCACAATTATATACAACAAGCTACCATGTTTCAAGCTAACATAAAAATCCTAATAGTTTACTTCTTTTTCGAATTATGAGCGGATGTTGTCATCCCCAAATGTCCTGGTACGGCTGAGAGTGGAGAGAGTCCGCTCTTCCTCTCCAAATACCACAGGTGTTGTTTACGAAATTGAGAGGTCGAAAAGCGAATGTCCGATGCTTTAACCGGGTTGATGGACCTAGGGGAGTTGGGAAACCCTGATTCCAAACAAATGGTGTACAAGGGCTCCAGCATCCTGAAGGAACAAATGGTGTATGAACCAATCGTTGGTCACCAGCTACCATGGGACTAAATATCCTTACGATGCTCCATGGCCTTGTGGATTAGAACTTTAGATCAAAGGCTCCGGGTGTGGACCCCTAAGAAAACCACCTGCTTCAGTCTGGGCACCCGAGCAGTATCAGAGCCCTCAAACAAATCAAATGAGATTTGTGCGGCACATATGTATCTGGTGCTTTTTTGTACCAATATTTATGTGTTTAAATAATAAATGATCTTGCAAAAGCGCTTTAATTCTAGGCCACTGAGCAGGTATCCAATGTTGTCAATGTCCAACTTCAAATAATCTATAATATTTCGCGAACATCTTTCATTGTCTCTGGTGGGTTAGACAAGTACGCAGTCGGATGTCGGCTCAGTGTTCTACAAATTACGAGTTCTAATCCTGTGTGTAAGATAATGGATGTGCACTGCTAAAGAGTCCCCTACAAGGACAAAACAATCTTCCAGTGCTGTTAGGTCTTCAATGGTGATCTAATATTGATTGAACCCTATATTTATTATTATTATTATTATGAAATGGAATTTTTCAACCATTACATTGTCAATTCAACAATAAGTGATGATCTAAAGTTGTAAGAGAAATTGATCACATGATTAGAGTATAAAATTCTAAATATATAGATGTATATCTATAGGTATGCTTTGTAGTTTATAAGTAAATCTTAGGCATGGTATTGGTAACTTAAATCTGATTACTTTGGAAAGATGAACATTGAATGATATGAAATATGAAAAATTGAATTTTAAAAAAGAATGAAGCGATAAAAGAACCTATTTCGGTGTTGTTGTTGCTGCTATTTGAAACAGACATTACTACTACTGATGAACATTTTATTTAACACTCTCGGCCGTACCAGGGCATTTGGAGGCCTGCGCGGGGAAACCCCAATGGATTTCTAGTCTTACGCCTTGACCACTCAGCCATCGCGACACCTTAAGCTGATGAACAAGTAGGTAAGGAACAAGTTGCTTTCAAGTGATTTCATTTTAATGAAGAAAAAGCACTGATTACGAAATTACATATTCAATTTTACTACATTTTAACGCAACTTCGTTAAGAATAAAAAACGGAGTCATTGTATATGGATTATTGGTAATTTTGGGAATGAATTTAACCAGAAAAAGAAACAACTAAACTTGTTTCTTTTAAGCATACAATTGATTATAATTTTAAAGAATTAATTGATTGGATATAAGGCATTTGTAAACAAAGGAACCTAAGGAGGCAGGAATGTAGATATGAAATAAATGGACATTACTCATGTAAGATTACTTATTTATTTATTTGACTACATCAGCATTGCTACAAGGGAGCATCGAATACATATAAGCCACACAAGAACAATGATCGTGTGAGGGCCGGATGCCCAGACCGAAGTAGATGGTTTTTTTAAGGGGATCATACTCAGAGCCTCCGACCTAAAGGTCTAATACATAAGACAGTAGATCAACGTCACAACATGCAAACCCATGATAGCCGTTGACCAACAATAGGTCTATCTGTTCCCTCAGGATCCTGGAGCCCATATGGTTAGGAATCAGGGTTTTCCGATTCCCCTATATGGACCCTCAGTGTCCACTAACCCGGTTAAAGCGCCAGACATTCGCCTTTCATGCTCTCAACTTCGTAAACAACACTTGTGGCACAAGAAGGTAGTGAGTAGGCTTTCCTATAGCTGTATACGCGTGGCAGTGTGAGAGCATTTCGAGGGGAAGTGGACTCTCCTTAACTTTCAGCTGTGCCATGGCATTTGGAAGCCATGTAAAATTACGCACGTACGTAAGACTACGCTTCTTCAATCACTGAACAAAGATAATATGTTAGTACAACCTATGTTATATAAACATGAGGAAGTCATTTTGTAGATGACTATCACAAAATATCAAAGCGGTCACTATAAAGTCAACCTCTTCTCTAAATCATCATTTTATTAAAGCAAGAGATTATGAAAAATCCCACTGACTAAATAGAGATAAACTTTTGGAAGTTTGAAGAGAAACTAATTTAAAAGTAGAATGAAAAAAAAAGAATTAAGAGACCATGGAACAAATGAATACATGTATGTATGTATGTATGCATGTAGGTATGTGTGAGAGGGTGAGATATGTAAATAAATAAATGAATAAATTGAAGCATAAAAATGGTGGTGGTGGTGGTGTGTTCTCGAAACTGTTGTTATCGATATATAACAGTAATAATGATGATCAGACTACTACTAGTAGTAGTAGGAAAGATAGGAGGACGTAGAGAAAAAAAAACAACGCTGGTAACAACGAGTAAAATAATAACAACAACAACAACAACAACAAAAACATCAGAATAGGTGTACAAGTTTTCTTCTCTATAGAGATATTATATAGTATAGAGAATAATAATATTTAAGCCTACAACAATATAAAGTTAGCTAGACACACATATATCGAAGTTCAAACCTTTATAAAGCATTAAAACGGATGACGACGACGACATTGGCAAGTAGTGAGATAATTTAATGCTAAGAGAAATAAACCATGTGTGTATATATATATACAGGGGATATATATATGTACGTGTAGTATAGGATACTCTATACAATGGAAAGCAAAACAGGTCAATTAATAAAGGTGAAATGTAATTACCTACCATACTTATGCGCATTGAGACATCCCAATACATGTATACTACTGGTGTGTAAGCATACACACGAGAAGGTAACACGTACATATAGATAAGGGTATTTTTCAAGTTGCTTGCTAACATAAACGAAATTCGATATCGTTTAAACACAAAATGACCTTGAGAAAAACAATTTTCATTTTATTCATAGACAATATTGTTAGATCGTTTAGTTAGTTATTGGAATAATAATTGATATACATTCATTTAGTAGTTAGTCAATCAGTCAGTCACCCACTCACTCATTCCTTTACACACATACACACAGAGTGAGAGCGAGGGAAGAACGCATGTGTACAGTTATTTATTAGGATGATGTTTTTTTCCCAATAGAAAAATTAGGAAAAGGGAGAATAGAGAAAATTATCAAAATGACGATGAAGAAAAGAAATTCTAAATTATATAGAAAATATAAACTGATCATACTTATAAAAATACTGGCTTTATAAGTAAATAAGCATCTACGCAAGATACTTCGGATCTGTTGGCAAGACACTATCAGCAACAACCTACTGTGGGAGAGAACAAACAAGATTCCAGAAGAGGAAGAAATCAGGAAGAAGCGATCGAAGTGGATAGGACACACATTGAGGAAATCATTCAAATGAGTCACAAGACAAGCCCTCATATGGAATCCTCAAATCCAAAGGAGAAGAGGAAGACCAAAGAACACATTACACCGAGAAACGGAGACAGATATAAGAAGAATGAACAGAAGTTGGATAAAACTAGAAAAGAAGGCCCAGGACAGAGTGGGTTGGAGAATGCTGGTCGGTGGCCTATGCTCCATTGGGAGTAACAGGCGAAAGTAAGTAGTAAGTACGTAAATGAGCATAGCACAACTGGGATGTATCGACAATGATGAATTATTGAATATGATAAGAGACTTGCACTGAAAGATAATCGAAACTCACTAAACTCTATGTGGTAATTTATAAATCTATTCAAGTTTAAAAATAATATATTCGTTAAAACTGGCTACAAAATATATTTCACCGAATAAGGTTGAAAAAAGACTTAGAACAACTAATTGATTGTAATCAGTAACTTACTGAATAATGCATCACACAAGGATCAGTAGGTTGAAATTGTGATCGACCACCACCTGTTGGTGTCTGATGCATAGGACGTGGATGACCAGGTGTAGAACGAGAGAAATGATTCATTGGTAATTCATCTCCAATATAAGAAGGATTCATTGGTTTATTCGGAGTTGTAACACAATTAGGAATTGGTTGTTTAAGACAGTGAACATTTTGATTGGTAGGTGATGACTGTTGATGCGTGGATGATAAAGACTGAGCATAATTACCAGTATTGCTAATAACACTAGATCTACCGGATGCTGCACCAGCTTTGCGTTTTTTTGTTCCTGGTTTTGTGACGCCAGAACCACGCCCACCAACTGATTGGTTAGTATTAGTGATAGGTACACATGTAGAAGGAATAGAACCAACAACAGGAGATTGAATAACATTTAATGCTTGACCAGCGCGACAAACAGGCGGCACTGAACCCGGTTCAATGTGACCAACGAGAGCAGGATTCTCGTTATTCGGAATAGGAGACATAGAAAGAGGAATTGAGTTGGGTGATAACCAAATATCACTACTTGTAGCAGAATGGTAAGAACGTTTTTGTCCAGTAGTTGGTACTACACCGGCAGTTATTGGATCCGGACCGGCTGCGCCAATAGGACCTAGTGTCCGGCAAGATTCTGTTGGTAGTGTCAGTGAGTCAGAGGACGGATAACCAGGATTTCCAGAACATATATTTGAATTATTTGGTGGAACCATTACAACTGGAGGGCCACTTTGGTAAGCCGGGGGTTGGCAGGTTTGTTGATCAGTCAACATCACTTGTTCTGAAGGCAACATCATAGTTCCAGTAGCCATAGGTGGGATAGGGCACTGAGATGAAAGATTAGCTTCATGAGGAGGGACTGGACAGTTGGACATATCAAAAAATCCCATCTGTCTAGGTCCAGAATAACGCATTATTGATGGATCACTTTTTCCACGCTGATAATCAGAACATAATCTATCCCATTCTTGTTGAGCTGACTCATTATTAACATATGATCCTCCAACTGAACCGCTCTGACGAAAGGCACCATAGTTTTCAAAATCTACCGGACGTGTTCCAACAGTTTCAGAATATTGTAATGAATTGTTAATAGCTGAATAATGTTTAAAAATAAAAAAAATATCGGAAAAAAATCATCAACGAATTTGTATTTATTAAAAAAGTAAATAGCAAAACTGAAAAATTACTTCAACAGTATTTAATTTATATTTTTATGCATAATAATATCAATCAGTCAGTCACAACGTAGAACTTCGTATGTACGTACGTACATCAGTTCGAGTTGCCATACCACATTAGCACAGAGATCCAGTTGCCGATTCAAATCCCAATGTGGTAGAAGTAGTAAGAGTATAAGCATTAATGTGAAAGATTAGGGTTTGAAGATGTTATTGAAGGAGTATAATTCAGTGAAATAAATTTGGAAAGAGAAAACGGATAGAGACATGAGGAATTCGGAAGACTAGAATCTGGGAGAACACAAAGAGTGGATGCACCTACGTCATTTTAAACGATTTTGAGCCATAATAATATAAAGCTTATTCATGTATAAATAACAAAATATTATCAATGTATGTCATGAAAATAGAACAACTCTATCATTAATTGGAAAATATCAGTTTGAGATCGTGGAAAAAGTCATGTTTATAAATATGATCAAATTAATATCTTACATAGTGTACGTATTTTGATGGAGTTTTGTTCTCTGAGCTGGATGATTAGGTCGTGGAGCTTTCATCCTTTAGCTCAGAGAACAAAACCCCATCAAAATCATCCAACTGAGCTACAAAACTTGGAGAACTATGGAAGTCATCATCCAGGAGATACAAGTGTTTATTAACAGTTGTCTATGCAAAATACTTTAGATCCGTTGAACAGACATTATCAGGAACAACCTACTGTGGGAGAGAACAAACAAGATTCCAGAAGAGGAAGAAATCAGGAAGAAACGATCGAAGTCGATAGGATACATATTGAGGAAATCACGCAGCTGTATCACAAGGCAAGCCCTCACATGGAATCCTCAAAGTCGAAAGAGAAGAGGAAGACCAAAGAACACATTAAACATAGAAATGGAGACAGACATGAGAAGAACGAACAAAAGTTGGATAAAACTAGAAAGAAAGGCCTAGGACAGAGTGGGTTGGAGAATGCTGATTGGCGGCCTATGTTCCATTGGGAGTAACAGGCGTAAGTAAGTAAGTAAGTATGATTCACTAGTGAAGAAAAAAATTAACCGTCCAATTAGCTTGTTTAGGTGTATAAGAGATTATGTCATAGATGAAATTATTGAATATTAAAGTTTATAAATGTAGGTATACATGATGAGTTTGTTTTGTTTTGTACGAAACGGTAGAAATCATATCATAAGATATGTTATCAGTTGAATATTTGTAAGCACTATTGGCGGCATATATATGCACATAGCATCTATTTTTAAGAATTAAATTGAATTCTTCACCAGATACTGACGTATAAACCACACTCTAAATAATGAAGGCTAATAATACAACTACTACCCCATTGCTCGAACCGAAGTGGAACAGGGATCGACCCTTAGAATTAATAACCGAGGGTTGGACACTTTAACCATTGTTGTTATTATTCGACTCCAATAACCATCTAGTACAGCATGTCCCTATCTTTATTCCAACCTATCCTTGTATCGCAGAGTTGAATTAGGTAGAAAAATACTCAATGATTTATGATATTAAATTTATGATTTAAAAAAAATAAAAATAACTAACCAGATGGTGGTAGTTGTGCTGAAGGATTCCCTAACCCTAACGATTGTTGTTCCAGTTGTTGTTGTTGGTGGTGGTGATGATGATGATGGTGATGGGATTGCTGTTGCGGTTGCATTGACATAGAATTACGCATTAAACGTTGTTGTAAAACAGCACCAGCTGTTGCTGCAGTTATAGCACCTGGTGTTGAAGCACTTTTACTTTTACTCAATGTTGAATGAATTTTTTCTAATTGTGCTATTTTACTCTTACGATTTTCCCATTGTTCTTGAGTTAATGGCATACAACCATTATCTGGAATACCAATTATTGGTGAAACTAAAGCAGTAGTTGGTCCAATACATTGTTTTGAATTTGAATTAGATGATGAAATAGAAGAATGTTCTAATCCACTACATGAATTAATATCTTGTTGTCCTGTACACATATGTCGAAAATAAGATGAATTATTAGGTTGTTGTTTTATATTAATCGGATCGATAATTTCAACTGGAGATCCTTTCATCATCATATGTGAATCAAATGGATAGGATTGTTTTGAGGTACAATTTCCAGTCATTTGATTTTGTGATATTTGTTGAGTGGATGAAGGATATGATCGATAATTTCTTTCTTCAATTGTTCCATTATTTGATCGTTGTTGTTGTACTTGAGAAGATGGTGGTTGTGTTGAAATGGCAATATTATCATTGATTGTTGTTGGTAACTTGCGATCACCTAATTATATGTAGTATAATAAAATACACTAAGTGAATACGATAAATTCTTTACGGTTATAGATCAGAGGGGGTTTTGTGGAGAACTTAGTATTTTCATAGTTGAAATCATGAATCAATTGAAGCTAGACCACCATGGAAAACCTGGAAGCACTGGATGGCCGTTTCGTCCTATTATGGGACTCCTTAGCAGTTCGCATCCACCATCCCGCACTCGCGAGATTCGAACGGTTAAACGAATAAAAAAACGGAGTAGTTCTAAAATACACAAAGAACTATAAACATATGATGTATATGTATAACGATAAAAATAATAATTCATTATTGCGTTTTGATCGTAGGTTTTACAAAGACAAAGAGAATTATTTTCAAACTTTTTGAAGGATACGCCCTAATGAAAAAGTAGAGCGAATTGTGAGTGAAAAAGTAAATGCTTATCTGTAGTCAAGGTACTACTAAGTTGTAAGTTTTAATTCTGATTTATTCATAACAGATAGATATAGTTCTTAAAGTACCACCATTATGAACTCTTCATATAGAAAAATGACTTAAAACTGGGATATATATTTAAGCATACTTGGAATATGATGCTGTAAGTTTTTATTATGTTTATACAACGACAATTTAATCGAAGAGGTAATTCAAAGAAATCCTTTGGGTTATATAGAATGTAGTCGTTTACATTTATAATTAAATAGTTACTTTCATATTTGATCTCATTTCATTCTGTTGGTCATATAAACAGCAGATCGATAGCTACCCTCATACAAAAAACTATAAGTCGAAGACAGCCAAATAAACATGGTATGAGGTGTCTGTGAAAATTATTGAATTTCACGTGCCCACAAATGTCCTGGTACGGCTGAGAGTGGGGAGAGTCAGCACTCTTTCTCAAAATCCTCTCACATCGCCACGCGTATACAGCCTCTACAAGGGAAGTCGTACTCACTGCATTCTCACGCCATGGTTGTTGTTTACGAAATTGGGAGGACGAAAAGAGAATATCCGGAGCTTTAATTGGGTTGGTGGATACGGAAAGTCTACCTAGGGGAGTTGGAAAACCCTGATTCCAAACAAATGGTGCATATGAGCTCCAGTATCCTGAGGGAACAAATGGTGTATGAATCAATTGTTGGTCACCGACTACCATGGGACTGCATCTCTGCACGATGCTCCACTGTCTTGTGGATCAGACCTTTAGGTCAAAGGCTCCAGATGTGGCTCCCTAAGAAAACCACCTGCTTCGGTTTGCGCACCCGAGCACTATCACAGCCCTCACACAAATAGAATGCGGCGCATATGTATCTGGTGCTTCCTTGTACCAATATTTATGTGTTTCAATAAATAAATAAATAATTGAATTTTACAATTTACGTGAAAGAATAAATTTAGTTAACCAGTGAAAACGAAGGAGCATTGGATAGTTTTTGAGTTCCAGCATAGGGTTACAAATACTCACTGATGCCAAGTTTTAAATGATTGTTAAGCTAAGGTCAGTCCTTGATATTAACTAACAAAAAATATAGACCTGGTCTATGGTAACCAAGTCATGGCCTGGTTTCTATTTCTTTTCTACGGTATAATTTGATTTTAAAAAATAAAGATTGAAATTATTCAACATATTAATTTTTCGGCAGTACAAATCCATCATCCTACATACGGGATTTGAACTCAGGACCTTCAGTCTTGTGCACGAACGCTCAAAAATTTAGACCACTGAGCCGACATTCAACTGTGTTAATGTTTAACTTCAATCGATCCATGATCTTGAGCACTGCTGATGAGTCCCACACCAAGACGAAACAGACATCCAGTGCTTTCAGGTTATCAATGATGGTCTAGCTTAGATTGAGTCATGAATTCAGCGATTACAATCACTATAATCTCCACAAATCCTCATACTGATATAAATTTCTTTTAGAATAAAACTTCTTTATACGACAGAAAATATCATATGGTCTGAGTTATTTCATCTTTTCTATTTCGTATACTTTCTTTTGACAACAAAGTAAGCAGTATCTTTAAAAAGAGAAACTAAATAATCAGTAAAGCGAAAGGAATAAATAAAGCCAGTCATTCATAATCACTGGTACAGCGTAGGGTATATGCGCCCATCCGTTCGTTGTGCCATATAACAAATTATTACAAGGAAATATAATTTATAAAATAACCAATAGAGTCGAAATAACTGTAGTAGCAATAATAGTGAAACACACTAAGCCTTGAGAATATGGTTCGAATAGACAGAATGAAAAAGTACGTGTATTAAGGAATACTGAAAATCAAGATAATGAATGAATAAGTCTGAATATATACCACTGATTATGACACGTTTTAGATAATGATATTAGGTGTGAAAACCAGTGATACTGTTCAATGTCACAAGTCATAGTCAACCGGACAATAATTGAATTTGAGACTAAATGGTTGAAAGTCAAGTGTTAGGATAACTAAATCATTTTTTAGTTGGTTAATGCACTAAATGTTAAGTTCAACCAGTTTAGATGATAACTCCAATGGTCAAATAAGATTACAGGATAGATAGACATCTTTCTTCACTGCGAAACATTTGGTTGAGACTGGTCATAAGGTTGACATCAAGTCAGAATTTGTAGTGTTGTGCAAAAGCCTTCAAAGACATATACTAAAGTTTATTGAAACCTTGGCTATACGGAAATTGAAACCCCCCTTTGTGTGTTCAAAAACAATTTATTCTTACCATTAACCTACCCTAATAATATTGATTTATTATCCAGAGTGGTTATCAGATTGTTTTTGTGTACTTTATTGATTTTCTTTCTTTGTTACGACTTATCTTTAACCTGTCTAGTTGACCTTTTAATTTCCATATATAAATGTTCATAACAAGTATGTATGTGATCAGATTGTTCGAAATGTATTGCTCAAGTGTATATCGCATCATTCTGATAAACTTCGTCTTCTCATCGCATTATCGAAATTTATCAAAGGGACTAACTGTATAAATTAAACATATATTTAATATCAGAAGGGGTTTTGTGAAGATTTAGTATTTTTCATAGTTGAAAGCGTGAATCAATTGAAGTTAGACAACCACCATGGAAAACCTGGACGGCCAACTCGTCCTATTATGGGACTCCTTAGCAGTTCGCATTCACCATCACGCACTCACGAGATTCGAACCAAAGACCTACCAGTCTCCAGCCAGAGCACTTAACAGATAGACCACTGAGCCGGCATCCAACGGTGTTAATGTCTAACTTCAACTGATCCACGAAGTTGAGCAACTTTTCAGCAATTGTCTTCAGTGAGTTCCTATCTCACAACAGACATGGTTTGAACTCCACTGGTCACTGCTTCTCACTAGAACTCCTGGATGTACTTCTGGAATTCAGTCACTAGTGAGCATATGATTAAATTAATTATCAGAAGGGGTTTTGTGGAGATTTAGTATTTTCATAGTTGGAGGAAACGGCCGTCCAGTGTTTCCAGGTTTTCCATTGTGGTCTAGATTCATTGACTAACGCTTTCAACTATGAATATATTTAATAGTACATTTAAGACACATATTTATTGGTGGTTTAACAATTGACACATTCATCCTTCAGAAATCCGATCAAAGGTTAATAACGATGAATTAGTCCTATAACAAATAGTTCAGTACATATACTTTTATTGAGGTAACTGAGTTTCATGCGAAGACATAGAGATAATCTTAGTTGGAAAATATATAGTCTTTATCCATAATAAGCTCAGTAGTGATAAGGTGTTTGTGTGTGTGACATAATCTTGTTCTGGTAGATAAAAAAGGGGTCAGTAGAACAAGTCTATAACAAGCATTATCCACCACATACTGCAGTTCACTAGTATACATATAGCATATTAATAGAAATCATGAGTATAAAATAAATTGCTCTTGAAAAAATACTCTTTTCTAATCAACATATTCACTTACGATGGAACGATGGGGATGATGATGTCATATTTGAATTGGAGTTAGGAAGACCGGATGAACTCCATGATGCTAATGATTCACTGGCTACAACACCAGGTGTAGCAGTAATATTAGTAGATATACTAGGAGAGGAAGGCAATAACTGAATACCACTAACAGTGGGAGTATAATTACTATTATTATTATTTGTCGTGGTAGCAGTAATAGAAGTACTCATGGTTGTAGTTGTACACATAGCAGCAGGAGTTGTAGTAAATATTGTGTTAGTGCCAGTGAATAATGTGATAGATTCACAAACCACTGAACTACTATTATTTTGCATTGATACAATAGTTTGATCAACAACATCATCTGAATTTCTTATTGTTTCATTAGTATTCGATATATTATTATTGATGCTGCCACCAGTTAACGATGTATACCCAGATTTTGTTGCATTAGCAACCACAGGTGATGGTGAAGATAAGTTGTATTGATTTGTCGATGAAGAAGTTACAGAATGACTGGTAGTATTCATAAAGGAATCATGATGATTAGAGCTGACAACTGATCCAGATGATGATATGTTGGTGTATTCAAGCGAAACATTAACCTCAGATTTTGGTAAATGCATTGAATCTGTATCACAACAAGGTGATTGACCAGATAATGTTCGTATTTTCGTTAGATCTAAAATAATTAAAATGGAAATTAAACAGAAAGCTATAATGTCACATAATTCATCATAAATTACACTAAACAAAAACAAAATCGACAGATGTCATGTGGTATAAGTCACTGTAGTGATGATGATTATTATTCTAAAGCGAACGATTAACAACCATTCACACAATTAATTTGAGTTAGGATTTAATAATATTTTTAATAAAATCACTTTAAACTGATCACAGTATTGTTCTCAATTTTCTAATTAAATAAATTGAACTGGGTAATATACAAACAATCAGTTAGTGATCTTGAGTGCTGTTAGAGGTATGAGGGTAGTTATCACTTCCCGGTTGCCCACACCGTGGAAGGGTTCTTCTAGAGGTATGTGAAAAGAAGATAGTATTAGAAGTGGTCTTAATGACCTGAGAGCGTGACAACAGTGCCCAACGAACAACTACTTGAGGTCGGTCACACAAGACCTTTTTGTGGGTAATTTTTGTGTTAGCTCAGTACTTGTTGGTATCTTACCGCCGGAGACGGAAATCCGTGGGATAGGGCGAGGTGTGTATTTTTAGGGTCGACCTTTTTTAACCCCACCCCTCCTTGTGGGAGGGCAGTATCGCTGTTATACTGTTTGTCTGAAGGAAAAACCTTACTGCTGTCATACCTCTATACAGTCAGCAATACGACTTCGCCTTCAGGCCTTGGGATTGCTGCTTTTAGTCTCAACGCTCTTCAACCGACCTGTCTCGCATGGTAGGACCTTGAGGAACGATTGTTCCAGCCAGTATAGTTCGATTGGTTCATCACGATAGGCAAGCCCGACCACCACGTCAAGGTAGCAGCAACGGTCGTGACAAACAAAATAAGAATGTTAAGATAAGATGGTGGTTGGAGGTGGTCAACAGGAAACTCTGGACCAGGGTTTCGTGCTACTTGGCACTCGTCAGCAAGGTGTACCTGTAATCTTGAGGGAACTGGAGCTCCCTGACAGATTCGATCCCGTGTCACTTAGCTTCACAGTCGGAGACGTTACCACAGATATTGGTTTTATATACTCTAGCAAGTTATAAAGTATTTTCACTAAGGGCTTTCAACAAACCTATTTCAAAGCTAGTCACTAATTGTTACTATTCAGAAAACTTGTTCTCTCTCTCTCTCTCTCTCTCTCTATATATATATATATATATATATATATATATATATATATATTACAACGTATAAGTACTTCTAATTTCGTTATTACTCAAGGACACAAGATTCAAATTAATGTATTAGATCAAAATAAGGACAATGGAGAGAAAAAAAAACGGAAGTACAAAAAGTCAATAAACGTTGATGTCGATAATAAACTTAATATGTAAGTTACGAAAAAAAAACACCATGTACAGATATAAAATAAATTCACATTTCCAAAAGGGAGAAAGTATGAAGAAATGGACGAAAGGACAAAAACTATTGTGTTGCTTATGAACTATTTTTTTTTATAAAGAAAGCAAAACTGACGAGAATCTTTCGAAATGTCCCTTCCTATTTTGGATTCGTTAGTTGGATGTATCGGCACCTCAGAGTTAATGTTCACTCTGGGACTCGAACTTAGCACCGTTCGCTTAAAACACCATCGCATTATTCAATTGGCTACTGAGTTCTGATCGCCAATTATAATGATAATGAATCAAGGGAATATCGAAACAATCCGTACAAGATGCCTATATGCCAATATGTGACTGACCAATTGCAGTCGTAAACATCAAATGGAATCCACATTCTAATAGATAACAGTGCAAAGTATATTTGTGTAAGAGTGAGGAACTAATCACTACTGGAACAACACCACCAAATAAAGCCTACGCTGAGCAATCACAATTTTAAACTAACATTGTATTAACCATTATTTTGTGTTCAACAAAAAAATTCAGTTAATAATAGTTCAATTAACTATTTTACATAAACGAACTATACTTAGATGTGAATATAAATGCGGAAATAAAATCCACACAGAACTGTTTTACACATCTTAATTAATCATAGTTGAAATCATGAGTCTATTGAAGCTAGACAACCACCATGGAAAACCTGGAAGCACTGAACGGCCGTTTCGTCCCATTATGGGACTCCTCAGTGGCAGTGAGCAACTACGACCCACACTCGAGAGATTCGAACCCAGGACCTATCAGTCTCGCGCTAGAGTACTTAACCGATAGACCACTGAACCTCTTAATCTTAATTCATTCTATTTATATATAATTAAATATGATTTGTAAGCAGTAGTATATATACAGTTACATACCAATACAAAATACAACATATAAAAGGATATATATAACTGTACAGTTTCAAGTACTCCAAAATTACTGATCGATTACAATAAACAATACTAGTTTATTTATGTATAAACAAGTAATCACTCATTGATATACTCATACAAACACACAAGTATACCGAAAAAAATAGACACACTATTCAATAATTAGAATTTATAACTACTTGTATCATTTTTCGATTTTCATAATGTGTGGAGAAGGTAATACATGTATATTCACTGTATTGTGGTTTTATGCAATAGAATATGATGGCGGAATCGTAATGATTACTAATAGTAACTATTACTGCATTAAAAAAATGAAGTGTGGTTAGTAAGAAGAAGATGGAAAGAAAGGGGGGTATCATTAAACATCACAAGAGAACAGTTAGCAATCTTTTTCTTAAATGTGAATTCATCAATTCATCATATGATTTACTTAATTTATTTACAAAACAACTGACAACATTTTAATAATGGTATTTAATTAATCCAGTAAATTACTCGTGTTTTCCAAATATTCAATTGTAAATTTAAAATCTAGGTTCTATCTAAATGAGTTTGAGCAGACTGGGTGGTATCAACATTGTGTTGTTTCCCTCTAGCTTTATTTCGCACACACATATATCATAAATCAAAGAATTGAGTATAGGAAACTGAACATGGTTATTGAATTGCATAACAATTGTGCTGGAGAACAATCGAAAGATATGATCCGTAGCATTCGATGAGCACTAAGAAGGACTTGACAGGCAGGACATTGATCACCACCCAGTGATCAATCAATTATGATTACATCTCAGTCTTATAGGAGGTCGGTCGCGACTCGAATAGCTCAGTGGTAACCTCTCTGACTGTGAAGCTGTGTGACACGGGATCGAATCTGTCAGGGAGCTCCAGTTTTCTTAAGATTACAGGTACACCTTGCTGACGAGTGCCAAGTAGCAGAAAATCCGGGTCCAGAGTTTCCTGTTGACCACCTCCAACCACTATCTTATCTCAACATACATAGTACACGCAGTGTTGAGCCACCTAGACTAGTGGTCACATTGCGACTTGATCGATAGCATTCGATCAGCACTAAGAAGGACTTGACACGTATGACATTGATCACCACTCAGTGATCAATCAATTGTAATCGAAAGATATACAACGTATTCGTGATTTCAATCATCAACAACTAAATGAAATAGATATAAATGTGTTTCCAAAGATGCGAAAACTTGTAGACAGTGAGGAATAAGTGTATGTAAATATATATATTGAGATAAGTTGGCAAGTAATCAGAGATCTTTTTTTATTGTATGATTCCCCTCTCCTTTTTCCCCCTTAACTTGATTTCATTTGACTGCATTTTAGGAAAAAGAAACCAATGGTGATGGTTTTAGTACCTGTTCAAATATACATGTATTTGTTAACTAGCAACTTGAGGGTTCGAACCCAGTGACACTCTTTATAGTTTGTGATCATGTAAGAAATAATTAACTCTCATATTTTAATTATAGCTTAAAACTTGATGTACTTGGTAAATGGCTAACACATTGTTGAAACGTGTGAAAAATTACATCACACATATTACACTGTTTTGCAAAAAAAAGAAACTTAGACTTGTCAATCAGTAATGATCCATGTTTTGCTCTAACAAAATAAGCATAAGACAATTTCTAATGACATCGATTATAAACAGGTGAAGGTATTTCTACATACATTGTCAGTTGTGAGATTAACACAAAATAGGGTTTATGTCCTGTGAAATCTTAGATATACATAAACGGTTGAGGAGTACAAGAATTCTATCGCAAAGAATTAACTGTACACAACTCTTCAGAGTATAACTGTTCATCATTAGCTGAACAAGAAATGTTACCTTCAATAAGTAATAATATTTCTTTATAACAAAACTACAATACGGATATCTATATATTGTGGATAGATAGATAGATAATAAATACCATAGCAACTGAAATAATACTTGAAGAAAAAGAAATACCAAAAGTAAAACTTCCTATATAGAAACTTTTTTTCTACAGTAACCATAGGTAAAGTATGAAAATAAGTTATATATATATATATAAGATTACAACGGAAAGGATAAATTATACTTAGTATATCTATGAGGAAAGATATATTTATATGTGTATTAGCTACAGTGTGAATAAGGTGTTGTTCCATATCGTTTAAATAACCGAAAATATACAAATATGGTATAGTAACAATGTTTAAATAATATAGATATATAATTCAGCATGAGTATCATTTCCTCATCTATGTATCTACTTTAATACTGAATACTTAATAATAATAATAATAATAATAATCTCCAGTTTCCTCCCCCACCCCACCCCAAACTTATCGTTTTTTTCCCCTGATACATTACTCTTTGTTGTATATATAGAAAAAAGGAAATAAGACCATGTATGTTTATATATATATATATATATATATATGTCCACTGGAACTGGAACTGGAACAAAATTATCTCCTTTTTTTAGGTTGACAATTTATTTTTTTCTCTCGCTCATTATCATCTACCTACCTACCAACCTACATAAAAATGATTTGATTGATTAACATATCTTCTCCTCGCTAAATCTCTGTAGAACAATAGAAATAGAATAAGTACATAGACATATATATGTGTATGTAACAGGCTAGGGAAAGTTCAACTCATAAATTGTCTTACTTTCCTCATTAAAAACTATGAAAGCATACAACCATT